TATTCCTACCAGCTTTGCCTCTCCTCAGAATCCAGAAAGAATGAATTGATGTTCTTGACACCACATAGTCACGTTATTAATAATACCCTTAATGGTGATAATAGTGTTCCTTTTGTAGGCAACAGTGAAAATCAATTAAATTCAGAAATGGATCATGACATTAAGGTAAAATAATTTTACAATCATTTATTTTATTTAATATTCTATTATCTTTTTGTGCTATTGATTTTGTAAATTGGGGATCCAAGATGTACTATAGTGTTTTGTTTTTCATTTACTCAGTTAACTAAATAACTTCCAATTTGCCTACAGATTGCCTTTCACAAGCACTATGAAATCTAGCATCTGTACTACTGGATTTAATAATTTAAAGATCCCTAGTAAACTGTTGTGGCAATACCTTTGTTAAATTATTGTTGTTTACAATTACATAAGTTGTGTACAATGGAAACATGCAGACCTCTAAAAGGGACAAGGCATTGGATAATCCTGAATGGTATGTCTAAAGAGCAGCTACATTGCAATTTAATCTAATTCAGTTAAGATAATATCAATGTTGCCAGCAATCTTTCTCTCTGTTTCTTAAATTTTGAACATTAGATTCTTTACATAGTTTCTTTGTTCCTTCCATTAAACCTAATGGACATTTTGGAAAGATTTTAAAGAGACTGTAAGCCCGTGAAAGAGAAATAAATCTCCCTTTAGATTCTAGGGAGCAAAACTACCACAGCAGGGCCAATTGCATCAGTGAAGGATATCAGATTCATAGTGCCATATTTTCTTTCATTTTATGTTGCAAATTTCAGCAAAATATATCTATCTCATCAAACTTAGGAACTTTAGGCTTGTGATAGAATCCCAGAAGCCAGAAGCTTTCTCAAGTTTTGTTTTGTTTTAAATCAGAGAAGTTTTCAATGCAGGGATAAAGAGTCTATTTGGATAGTGATACGAGTGGCGTGTAAATTTAATAAATGATAAGTAATATTTAAAAATTAACATTACATTCTCTCTTTATTGTTTCCCCACCAGCCCTAACATGCTGAAACCATAGTGTTGGAAAGCTTCAAAAAAGAGATGTAAGGAGCTAAGTAAGAGATATTTTTCCACGCATCTAAATGTGGAGAATATTTAGAGCAGTTCTAGAGGTGTAATCTAGAATCCCCCTCATTGCTTGCAAGGAAAAGCAGTTCAAGCCTGGAAAGTTCTGTTGATAGTTGGTTCTTGAGCACCAGACTCTATTCCTGTTCTTCTCCATGTATTTCTCCATAAATTATCATATTTATATAGTAACTAAATTTATACATTCAAATATGCTATATTTTAATTTATTTTCAACATTTCTATATAAATTTTTGTAATTATTCCTAAATTTATATCCATAAGTCAAGAAAATCAGTTTTTTTACAAATCTTTTTTGCCACCCCAAGCCTGTACTGTGGGTTTTCAGTACAGAACCTGAAAGGCTTGGCAATGAACTGGTTCTTAAGATTTCAAAAGTTATAGTGCAGAAGGGCCTTTATTTCACCAGTGAAATAAAGACAAATTTGAATTTATTCCCCCCACCTGTGTGGGAGGGAGATTGGACTAGATGACCTACAAGGTCCCTTCCAAGTCTGTTAATCTGTTAAAAAATGTACCAGAAGTGTCAAGATCATCCTAATGTATAATTATGCCCATTTTTAATACTAACTTCCTGTCCTTTATGTTTTTATGACAATAGATATTTCTATTCAAATTTCATGGGTAGTCACTATTTACTATACTGTAGACAACAAAACTATATATCAAATTGGCCACTGTTTTTGGTTAGGCATAGATATGTGCATGTAATTAGATTTTCTGTACTTGATTTCTAGGTCCAGCATGTACTATGGATTTTCTTGTAGTGTCAGTGTCACTTTCTCCATTATAATGTTTCTCCTAAAGAAAATGAAATTGTTGGCAAAAATGTTATGGGCTTCTTCATAAGTATGTTATACAGCTTAATTCTAAAAAGCTACTCTTAAACAATCTCATTCTTTAGGCAAAACTATTCTATATATCGAGATTATATATGGGAATTCAATCACTGTTAAATCAAGATACTACAAATTGAAATTCATAATTAAGTCTTTTATTTTTACTATAATGTAGATTCTTCAACAGATATATTCTAAATTTTAAGGCTTTAATTTCACAAATATAGTTTTTAATTATAATATTTTCATATGCATTCTTGGGACTAATTCCAATTTATTTCATAATCATGAAGTTCTTTAAATCAAATTCTTGATACATAAAATAAAGATCAGAATGAAGATAAATGAACTCGTAGGAAACAATTGTGTGAAGTTATCAGCTGTGACTTCAGGACTAAGAAATGGAATGAAAAATTAATCTGCAAAATTTAGCAGCTTCAGAGTATGAAATGTGGAGAAACTAAAAACAGACCAAACATTTCAGTTGTAAGACACTATCAGTTGAACAACACATATTTTCACTTTCTGGCAGCTCTCTGTCAGTCTTCAGCCACAAATCTCCTTGGTATTTCTTAACAAAATAGAAACAATAATAGCAAAATGTTCCTAAAACCACAAAAGAGAAGTTATTGTTTTATTTCTGTTTATTAACATCTACCAAGTCAATCCATTCCCTCATTCCTCAAGAAACAGAAAAAAGGTCTTTGATAGGAAACTGCAAAGGATTTGGCACTGGGAATGAAGAAGATAACTGATTATATCATCCACTTTGTTTCTTCAAGCAAGTCTCCACATTTTGCTTTGGACTATTAGAATGGCGCATCACAAGGATAAGGAAGAGAAATGGGCTCAAAGAAGAGAGTGTAGCTTCAATTGTGAGATTATAGCTACATATTTGATTAAAAATTAAAGAACTGAAGTAGAATTCACTGATATTAATGATCATGCTCCTACCTTCCAGTCAGAGAAGCTGAGAATACAATACTGGGTTCCAAATTTCCATTGTTAGACGCTCAAGATCCTGCTTTAGAAGTCAATTCTGTGCAGGTGCACAAAATCAAATGTGGAGAATATTTCTTTCTGAGTATACAAACAATTTTGTTATAAATATATTGAAATATACAAACAATTTTGTGATAAACAATATATTGAAAAATCACAGTCAAAGCTTCTGAAATATTCCACATGAATGCAAATGCAGGGGAAATGAAAATTGTAGGAAATTAAGATTATGAAAATTCTGTACATTATAGCATTGATGTTCAAGTTCTGGATGATGAAGATTTATTGGACAGATCAATCCATATTGTGTTATAGATCATTTCCATTCCTAAAAATCCTCCATCCATAATTGTGATAATTGTGTGTTCCAAGCCAGGTCTTCATCCTTGGAAACAAGTGGTAGTCGCTTGGTGCAAGATCGGGGCTGTAGGGCAGATGAGGAAAAATCTCCCACTTGAAAGCATTCAGGACTTTTCGAGTGCCGTAGTTCAGCCATTTTTAAACTTAATGCACCATTGGCACACTCCACCTTCAGTGATGATGTTGTCCCCATACACTTCACACAGTTGCCGAAAAATTTCAATCGGTTTATGGTTTTTTGCCAACAAAAACCTTATCATTGATCGCACCTCATAACTCGTGGGATTTTCAATTGCAGCACACATTTCAAACATTTGCTGTGAAATAACGGGCAATGATACGAACCTCCCACTAGCACGACTAGATGCAGACTGAGCAGCGGACGCACAGACCAAAGATGGCCACGCTAGCTCCGCCCCTTCTTGCTACAGATGAAAATGTAATCTATTTTGTGGATAACCCTCGTATCTATAAATGTGGTTTGAGATTTGCAGATGCTATGTAAAGTTCTAATGTAAGGTTTGATAGAGAGTCCTGACCTCTCTTTCAATAAGAAAAATAAAATAAGCAAACTAAAAAATAAAATAAAATAAAATATAAAATAACCTGGACAGCCATTGAATGTGGAAATAAACTTTGTAAACAGAGATTCTTCTCCATCTATTAAAAAGAATAACAGATATTGCCATTAATAGAAGTCGGGTGAAGGAGGAAACAAACAGAGCAATCTTTTCAAATGAATCCACTGATGAACATTCATTAATTTGGCTACAAAGAATGAAGTCAACATTTGATCAAAATCAGTCATGCTCGTCTAAAAATAGGATCATGTAAGATCAATTAGCGTAGGAAAAATGTGGAAAGTACTAAGTCACCCATTGCTGAAATACTGGTTGTCTTTAAAAATTACTGCAAATAATATTATATTTAGCAAGATATCTCTAAATATTATCTTGAGATAAATAGTAACTATATTTTGTAAAGCCTAAAACAGTGTGGAGTTTGATGATTTGGAGGTATGGAGTTTTGTGTGATTGAAAATAGTACATTGACTATTTTTATTTGTAAGTTAACAACAGACCAAATGCAAAGTTATACAATTAGGAATTAGAGAAGATATGGTTAATAATATGGTTAATATTACCTGGTTTGATATTTGTTGTTGTAATCAAATAGTTTAGTCACTTCTAATTCAATGTGAGCTGCTGATTTCACATGACTGCCTGACATTCTTCACGCTCCTCTATGCTGCTCTCGACCAGTGATCACATCTTGCCACTTCTTTCAACTCTTTTTCAAACACATTCACTTTTCCTAAGCATCTGGGCCTTCTCCGGTAACTTTTGCCTTCAAATTATGTGTCCAAATTGTTTAAACTTTACCTTTATTATTAGTATTTCCAGTGAGCAGTCTAGTTTTACTCTCTCTCTAGAAGTTATGGAAAAGAGCCTAGAATAGTAATTATAAACTGGTCATTTATTTGTTGGATTTTTAATCTGTTTTTATTATTGTTATAAACATGTCAAAGCCACAAATATACATAATACTCCTTCCTCCTTATTTTCCCCACAACCACTTTGCGAGATGGGTTGGGCTGGGCTAAGAAAGAATTGGTCCAAAGTCACTCAGTTGGCTTTCATGCCTAAGGCAGAATTGGAACCCATGATCTCCCACTTTCTAGCCTGGTGTTTTTACTACTAAAGCAACTGTGGTGTGATGTGGCTGCAAGAAAGACAAATGCCATTTTATTTGCATCACCAAAGGTATTATTCAATTTTATTCTGCATTAATCACAGTCCATCTTAAATACTTTGTCCAGCCCTGAACACCATTGTTTAAGAAGAATTAAAACTGAAACTGGTTTAAAGAAGGGTACTGAGGATGATCAGGAACTAGAAATGTTCTGAAGAAACTAAAAATCTTTAGTTTGGAGAACAGAAGACTAATAGTTGTCATATAGAAGACCACCAAGGCCAGTACGATATTGTGCCATATGGCAGAACACTTAACATTTCCATAACAATGAATTTAAATTGGGGGGGGATGATTTTGATTGAATATTATGAAAACCTTTGTAATAGTAAGAGCAATTGGGCAATAGGATTGATTGGTTGTCCTTTACTGAATATTTTTAAACAAAACTTGGGCTATTATTTGTGGAGGATATTTTAAGTTGGATTCTGGAACAAAAGGTTGAACTTAATAATCTAAAATGAATCTAAGGTTTCCAACTTTATAATTTTATAATTTTATGAAATTCTATATCACACTGTTATCACATGATGTCAGTCACTCAGAATATCCAGACTTTGGAGTAGTTGTGTTATTTAGTGTTGTTCAAAAAGGCAGTCTATATGTATTTTTCTGTTATTTTGATAATTTAAACCTAAGAATATTTTCACCATGGTTAAGAAGCTGCCTATGAGAAATCCACAGGCAGAATCTGAATGCAGAACTTACCACTTCCTTTTTAATGTCTGTTTTGTATTCTAGTACACTGGCATGTAGCATGTTCCCATGATCTGTCCAATTGCATTCTTATTATGATACTTTTCAAGAGTAACTTCAAAATATGTAAAATTTATTGGTCTTTGTTGTTCACAAAATGGAACATAAAAAAGAAGGAAGTTTATCAAAATGAGCATGGTGCCACATTATTATGATATTTTCAAAGATGGAAAAACTTGCAAAGGCAAACATTTTGTTTGATCAGAGTTACAGTATTTTGGAGAGAGGTATTTTGGGTGCTACTGTGTTTGGAATCAGCAATATATCCTCCAAAGGGGATACTGTGTTCTAATCTTTTTAAAAAAAGTATTTTTGCATTACGTACACATCATGCATGTGTACGCGCAACACATACTTACAGAAATCAGTAGCTATATAAAAATTGTTTAATGGAGTATGAGATTCTAGAATTTAAAAGACAAATGTAGAGTTTTGTGGCATCTTAGAGATTAATTCATTTTTGTGGATCAGGATCACTGCCCATTCAAATCTTCCTTTTTACCATCTGCAGCAGATTAATACAGCTACCTTCTTTATATCTTTACAATAATACATTTAAGCCTTCTCAGTGAGAGAAGCTAGAACCTTGACTTTTAAGGTGATAGTGCTGACATAATGTTTTCAGGAGCCTAATTTTATTACATTTTGATAGGTCCTTTTAAAAAAAGTACAAATTAACATAATCCAAATAACTGTCATTGTTAGAATTACATAATCCCATGCAATAAAAGGGAAGTTAAAGTCATATTCAGTGGCTTGCATGAAGAAACAAATGGAGAAATAAAATAATACCTTAAAATTCAAACTACACTTATTTTTATGAGACAAACAATCACAGTGAAATAGCATTTCTATTTTGGAAATGCTATCCTAATTGGATAGGAAACTATTCAATGCAATTTTCTGACTGATCCTCAGAGTGTCACTGTTGGACAATGTGGCATGGGAAGAAAAGCTGGTGAGCCAATGATGTTTCATTGATACTTTTCTCCTATAGTGTTGCACATAATGGGCAAACAGCAGAGCACAGAAAAATACAAATGTAATATTTGCAGTCTAAACAATTTAAGGAAAGAAGAAGCTAATTTTTTATATAAATAGATTTCTTGCGCTATAAGGAAATTTCATCTGATCACTACCAGTTGCAGGGCAAAGGCAGAAACTCTGCAGACAGCTGGATGGATAGAAAGAACAAAGACAATGGAAGGGCAGCCAGAAGGCAAGTATTGCTTCTCTTAATATTATCATATTCCTACTATACTGCTTCAGAAGAAATTGGCTTTTCAATACCTGAAGAAATGACTAAGGGATCTGTAGTAGGGAATCTTCTCAAGGATTTGGGACTGAATATCCAAGAGCTGTCTAGAAGAAATTTGAATGCTGTCTCTGTAGATCAAATGCATTATTTCAGTATCAATGCCAAAAATGGAAACCTCTATGTGAATGACAGGATTGATCGGGAAGAACTATGTGATACAATTCTTCTTTGTCTTGTTAATATGGATGTAGTACTTGAAAACCCACTGAATGTTTTCCATATATCAATCACAATCCAGGACATCAATGATAATGCACCCAAATTCCTCAAAGACAATATCCATTTGGAGGCAAGTGAACTAACCTTGCCAGGTACAAGATTTCAGGTAGGAAAAGCAGAAGATCCAGATGTTGGCCTCAATTCTGTCCAGAATTACATACTGAGTCCAAATCAATACTTCTCCCTGGAAGTTAGAGAGAGAAAAGATGGACTTAAATATGCAGAACTGGTGCTGCAGAAACCCCTCGATCGGGAAAGTGAACAAAGCTTTCACTTGATTCTTACCGCCCTGGATGGGGGTGAACCAAGGAAAACTGGGACTACCCATATATGGATTAATGTCACTGATGCCAATGACAACCCACCCATTTTCACTCAAGATACATATACAGTTAATTTGAAAGAAAGTGTTCCAGTTGGATCCCTTGTGCTTCAGGTGGAAGCCTCTGATAAAGATGAAGGGACAAATGCCCAAATCACATATCATTTCACCAATTTACCACCTACTGCAAAGGACAAATTCAGCCTGGATTCTTCAAAAGGAACTGTCATTCTTAGTGCCCTACTGGATTTTGAAGAAATAAAACAATATACAATGACAGTGGCAGCAAAAGATGGGGGCGGTTTAATAGCACATTCCAATATTGAAATAAGTGTTCTAGATGAGAATGATAATCCCCCAGAGATAACTCAAACCTCTGTGTTCAGTCCAGTTCCTGAAGATTCGCTTCCTGGAACACTGATTGCTCTCCTCAGTATAAATGACAAGGATACTGGTGATAATGGAGAGGCTACTTGCTATTTGCAGAATAATTTGCCATTTAAGATACTTCCATCATCTAAAAATTACTACAAGCTCCTTACAGACAGACCTCTGGACAGAGAAAAGGCATCTCAGTATAACATTACAATCACAGCCATTGACAAAGGAACTCCTCCATTGAGTGCAAACAAAACCATCGTGCTGCAGATCTCTGATATCAATGACAATGCTCCTGCTTTTGAGAAAGCTTCCTACAGCATCTACGTGCCAGAGAACAATCCTTCTGGTGCCTCCATCTTCCAGATTCAAGCCTTTGATCCAGATCTGGATCAAAATTCACACATCACATATTCAATCCTCACCAGCAACATTGAAGAACTTCCCATCTCCTCCTATATCTCCATTCATTCTGAGACTGGCATCATCTACGCCCAGCGATCCTTTGACTATGAGCAGTTCAGGGAATTCCAGCTGCAGGTGAAGGCCCAAGATGGCGGGAGTCCCCCTCTCAGCAGCAACGTCACAGTCAGGGTGTTTATCCTGGATCGGAATGACAACAGCCCCCAGATCCTGTCCCCTTCACCAGACTCCAAGGACTCTGCCCTCTTTGAGATGGTCCCTCGTTCAGCCGAGGCAGATTATCTGGTAACAAAGGTGGTGGCCGTGGATGCTGATTCCGGACACAACGCCTGGCTCTCCTACCAGCTGATTCAAGCCACAGAACCGGCCCTCTTCACTGTTGGCTCCCATACGGGTGAGATCAGGACAGCAAGAATTTTTATGGAGAGAGATGCTGTGAAACAGAGACTGGTCCTTCTGGTGAAGGATAATGGACAACCGACTCTCTCGGCCTCTGTCACTCTGAACCTGGTGTTTGCTGAGAACTTTCAGGAGGCTCTTCCGGAGATGAAAAACCAGGTGAACAGCTCAGAGGATCAGTCCGACTTGCAGTTCTATTTGGTAGTGGCCTTAGCGGTGATGTCATTTTTATTCCTCTTGTCAGTGATTCTGGCCATTGCCATCAAACTGCGGCAGTCAGGAAATTCTAGTTTCTTACCATGTTTTGCTCCCGTTTCCCATTCCACAGCTGGAGTCATATTTCCACCCAATTTTCAAGATGGGACTCTGCCTTATTCCTACCAGCTTTGCCTCTCCTCAGAATCCAGAAAGAATGAATTTACCTTCCTCGCACCAAACATTCATGTTGCAGAGAATATGCTTTGTGGTGGAAAAAGTGAAATGCCTCTTTCAAGCAATGGAGAAAGCAATTCGCATCCTAAGGTAGAAAATAATGAAAAGGTAATATTTGTTTTTATTGCTCTTCCCATAATTATGTTCCTTAGGAAACAAACAAACTATTTACAAACTATTGTATAAGATTTAATTTAACTCTATGTAATATGACAAACTATTTTAAAATTAAGGCATAAACTTAAACTCAAAATCATGTTAGATTGTTGCTATTAGAAAATAATAAGTGGTAGAAAATATGGAACAAACATTATGATCAATTAACACTGTAAAAAGGAAAAACAGGAAAGTATTGATATACAGATATATAAGTAGGTATTGCTAAGATAGCATAAAAAATATAAACTGGAATCTTTTAAGCTAATTTAGTTAACTAAACGTAATAAATCTGTTAACTATAAAACATTATCTATTTTCTTTTGCTACTTTACAATCCTTGATTATGTATACAAAAGACATAAATTAAAAAAATAAAACAGAGGAAGTAAATAAAGTGGAAGACAATGTAGAATTTTGCCTTGCTAGTTCTGCTGATTTTTTAACTATAAGACACATATGATTTTGTACATATTCAAAGCAAAATCTTGCAACTGGTATCAAAATATTATCCAACAATAGGTGAAGGTAAAATTCTCTGGATTCCTCTTTAAACCTTTTAGTAAGCAGAATTATCCTATATCTGGCTTCACCATAAAAAGGGCAGTTTAGAAGATTTTGTAAATAACTAGACAAGTCATGACCCATTTTAGAGGTATTTCCTTATCTAAACAAATAAATAGAATGACCATCGGTGTAAGCAATAGAATTTTCCCCTTCGACCGAAAAGAATGAACTTCTGAAAGCTAGATATTTCAAAAGGAATTCTTTATTGAAAGGAAGTGAATCCAGTACTAGTCAAAGCAGAATCTAAGATGCTTCCAGGCATACAGTAATAGATAAAGGGAGTTGGAGCCCCTCCCCTTATTTAGATGTGGATTTATTCAAACAAAGAACCAACATGTTCATTCCTCCCTCCCCTTATCTGGGTACGTATCTTAGAAGAGTTTCCCAGGGGTATCTTCCAGAGCTGGAATTTTTATGGTCCCTTCTCCTCTTGCTATCTCTCCAAGAGGTGACAAGTTTCTAGACATCTGGCTCCAGTCCTCCAGTTGTATATCATGTGCAAGTTGTGCAGATTCAATATAAGATTTAATATATTCAGGTTACATCAAAAAAGATTACTTGTACCAACTCCCCCCCCCTTCTTCCATTGAAGAATGGCAGATACATGGATCTGACATACTGCCCTCCTCAAAAATTTGATAAATCCACCTGGAAGACATAAAACATGTGTTACATTTACAACTTAGGATGGTTTTTGAGGGTATTTCAGGTGGAACTTCCATAGTAATGCTTTTACATGTCATTTGGCTACCAACACATTTTCTGAGGAAGGAAGGTGTTTCCAAGCTACTAAATATTGTGTGGATCCATGGTGAGTGCGCGAATCAAGGATATCTTTAATTTCAAAATGTTGTTCCCCATGTACCATAATAAGAGTTGGAGGTGTAGGGGGAGGGTCTAAAGTTTGAAGTGATCTCTGGTTTGAGTAGGCTACAGTGAAATACTGGATGAACCTATCTAAGTGTTTTGGGAAGTAGAAGCTCTACCATAACAGGATTAATAATTCTGGAGATGGAAAATGGCCCAATGAATTTAGGTCCCAGTTTCTTAGAGGGTTGCAACGATTTTAGGAATTTTGTGGACAAATATACGTGGTCCCCAACTTTGAATGGTTTAGGATCACAACATTTTTTGTCCACTTGAGCTTTAAAAGCTGCTCTAGCCTCTTGTAAGGCTAGTCTGACTACTGGCCAAGTGGCTTGCAAATTATTAATCCACTCCTTAAGGGAGGGAATTTCAGGTTCCTTGGTGGGTAGTTCTGGCATGGGGTTGAATTCTTGGCCTGTGGCTACCTGGAATGGGGTGAAACCAGTGCTGCTGTGGACCAAGTTGTTGTATGCTACCTCTGCAAAAGAAGGAAGGTCAGTCCAATTGTCCTGTTGGTAATTAATAAAGCATCTTAAATATTGCTCTAATGCGCTGTTTGATCGTTCTGTTCCATGGTTAGTCTGGGGGTGATTGAACGATGACAACCCCTGGGTGGAGCCTAATAGGTTTAAAAACACCCACCAAAATGTGGATGTGAATTGTACACCCCTATCTGAGATAATCCGTTGGGGAGCTCCATGAAGGATGTGTATTAAATGTGTATCAAAAACATCTTTGCCAAGGTCTTGGCTGTTGGGATCTTTTGGCATGGTACAAAATGAATCTGTTTTGAAAAAAGATTAGTTACAACCCAAATAACAGTATTTCCTGCACTTTCAGGGAGCTCCACTATAAAGTCCATAGAGATCTTTTTCCAGGGTGCTGAAAGTTCTGCCACTGTTTGTAAAAGTCCAGGAGATTTTCCTTGTCTTCTTTTTGCAGCAGCACAGATGGGGCAACTAGCAACATAGTTTTCAATGTTCTTTTTGAGAGATGGCCACCAAAATTGTCTTTTGATGAGGTGCAGGGTTTTTACAAAACCAAAGTGTCCCACTATTTTTGAGTCATGGCAATGTTTCATGAGGTCCATCCTCTGGCTGGCAGGGACAAAAAGTTTGTTTTCTACCCAGGCTAGACCATCTTTGAGTAAGCAAGTGTTTTTGTTAGCCTGGAGCCAGCCGTACTTAAGTAGTGCCACCTTGAATATTGAAGTGGTTGCATTGTCAGTCAGTGATTCTTTCTTCTCTTGCGCCCAGGTGATTACTTTGGCTGCAAGTTGGGTTGGTTGGATCATGGGTTTTATAACTTCAATCTTTTTGCTGTTGTATTGGGGTTTCCTGGACAGGGCATCTGCCAAAAAAAAATTTCCCCCGGGAGATATTTGAGAGTGAAATTAAACCGTTTAAAATATTGATCCCACCTTGCTTGTTTCTATGGAGTTTTCAGGGCTTCTAGATTTTTATGATCAGTCCAGATTTCAAAGGGGATTTAGTTCCCTTCTAGGGGCTGCTATTTTTGGTCGATGAAACCCCTTTTTAGATTTTTATCGATAAATGCTCTGAGTTCTTTTAGTTCTCTCGGGAACATGCAGTACATTTTCGGTTTTGGAAGTTTAGCCCCTGGTAGGATTTCAGTGGTGCAGTCTGTGGTGTGATGGGGTGGGAGTTCATCAGAAGCCTCCTCACTAAATACTTGGGCTAAATCCTGGTACTTGTTGGGGATGTTAATGGGTTCAGCCGGGTGACCAGCCATGGCTGGTTCTCTGTTCTCTGTTCCCTTTCTTTTCCTTTCCTCTGGGCTGTTTGCAAATGCTACATGTTTCTGGAAATGTATGGTTCCTCTCTTCCAGTTTATTTTTGGATTCTATTTCCATAGCCATGTGAGTCCTAGGACTAGTGGCCCTTCCATTCATGGTGCTATAATGAATGTGAGCATCTCACTATGGTTCCCTAATCTTATTTTCAATGGTTCTGTGGTAAAACTGGCTGTTTCCCCTCCCCCCCACTATAGTTCCATCTAACTGGCAAAAAGCAATGGGATTTTTCATTTTCTTTAGTTGGATTCCCAATTTCTCTGCTAGGGAGGGGTTAATTAGGCACCGGGTACATCCCAAATCCAGTAATGCTACAACTTCCTTCCCCTTCCCTCAGCTGGGGATAAACAGTCTTAGAGGTAGAGTGAGTGGCTCAGTTGGGTTGCTTACCAGCAGGTCATCTTCCGGATCACTTTCGGACTGGCTCAGGTCTCCTCGGGGCATTGGGGGTTCTTCCTCTGCATTGAGGGGGAACAGAACTTCACAGCTTCTCAGCTTCTCAGGCTAGTTTCTTTTCCTCAAGGGTTAGATCTTCCAGGTTTCCCCCGATGGGTGGTCTGGCTTTCTGGCAGGGGTTTTCGAACAGCATTCTGCTGCGCAGTGCCCCTCTTTTCCACACTTAAAGCAGCCAAATGGCTTGGGGTTTGAAAAATTCCTGCTTTCCCTGGGGTGAGGATCTTCTCCAAACTTTGCCACTACGATACTGGTTACAGGTCATGTCTATCTCTGCCTCCTCTGCCATCAGGTACCACTCATGCAGGAGGTTTGGGGCCCCACGGATCAGGCAGACAGTGTGCAGGTTGTCATTGAGTCCATCTTTGAACCAACAGACTAGGATATCTTCTGGCTAGTCAACTCGGGTATCTCAGTAAATTCCTCGGTGTACTCAGCTACCAGACAATGGCCTTGCTTTATGACTCTAATGCGGTCACAGGCTTTTCTATCGGCGAGGGGATCTTCGAAGCGGTGGCATAGGGCTGTCATAAATCAATCGAGATTCCTCAGTTCTGGGGCATTGATGTTGTGGAGAGTCACTATCCATCTGGCTACTGCCCCTTCTAGGGCCAGGGTGACAACTTGCACTTGGGCCCCCTGGGTCGGGAAATTCCACCCATATTCTTGCATGTAGGTGAGGACTTGCACCAGGAAAAATCCCAGTTTCTGGGGGTCCCCATCAAATTTTACCCCCAAGGGCGGGATCTTTCTCTGCAGTTTTATGCCTCTGGGTTGGCCAGAGTTAATCCCCTGCTCTGGGGCAGCAAGGGGTCGGGTACCTGGTATAGCTGCTGGTCCTCTGACTTGTTCCAATGCCTGATCATTCTCATCTGGATCAGGGGTGACAGCTCAGGTTCTCTTGATTTCTGGTTCACTCGCTCTCCTACGTTGGCGACCTGGTTCATCCCTCACATTGAGGTCCTCCAGGGCTTCCCTCATGAGGTGATTCATGTACCGTTTCAGTTGGTCATCTGCCGGTGGTTCCTCAACCCATTCTTCCTGATCAGAGAGGGCCTCCAGCTCCATTTTCCACCTGGGTTTATGGCTACCCTGAGTGAGGGTTACTCCCTTGGTTCTTCCGTCCCAGCTCTTTCCTATGCCTGTAGATCACTGGGGCTTTGTGGAGTTTTTGCAGGCAGTTTCACTGTCTTCAATAGGGTACACAAAGTCAGTGTCTGGCTGGGTAATTGTTGAAGTTTCCCCCCAGCAT